CTGCTTCTTTCAACCTTTTCTTTCTTTCCTCGGCTGGGGAGCAAATGAAACGGCCAGTGCTAATCCATGGTTGGTTAAAGCTAATTAGATAAGCCAGAGTTCAACTAAAGTAGTCGGTAGGCCGGGGGCTCACTTTTGTATTCCATACAAAATAGCATATTTTTAAATATTGATATCTTAACCATTTTAAATTCTATCTACTTTTTACTAATATATAGTGAATATATCAAAAGTACTTTTACTATTAGTATATTAAAATTATAAACCGATCTATTCAAAAGTGGTTGAGATATCAATATTTAAAAATGTGCTATTTTGTATGGAATACAGAGGCGAGCCCCCGGCCTACGTGAGCCTCCCGCTTACCGACTACGTTAACTAGTTATCTAAAAAGATTTTCCATCATGGGGAGCATTCCCATGTAGCACTAACATACAACCCTACAACAAAACTACTGACAGCAAGTACTGTATTGTAGAAGCTTTCTACTACACAAGAATTACTACAGGTAGATTCCATGATTTCACAAATTAGCTGTGGCATTTATTGATTCGATATATACCTTACCTTACACGCAGAATAGATAATAGATTTTTATTTGTATGGAGTGGCATATAACGAGATTTAGATTTTGGTACCCATTGCTTGTACACCACCACCACAAGCTATGAGAGCAGTCGAAGGTAGGTGTCAGCCAACATCCATTAAACTATTGTGCATCACAAGAGTCACATATTTCTAACATCCCAGGGTATGTTGGTGATCGGGCGTCATTTTACACTTTAAGACTGTGATTAATTGCAGGTTGCTTGTATGTGGATCGCTCCACTCTTATAGAGAGAATTTTATGTGTAAGCCTAGCAACTGTTTGGGTAAATGAATCGAGTTCTCCTCACTCGACGAACTCTCTCAGAAGACTACTCCTATTGAGAGAATGTCGCCTCTACCACGACTCTATTTATAGCATGGAAAGTCAGGTGTATTTGCAGGTGAAACTATTATTCGGGTTATCAACATAAGTAGAGGAAGAGAAGTAGCAGTGGCATATTACTAACAATTTCCCTGGTACTACTCGGAGTACAGGGCACTGCTTGGGAATTGCTGACGCTCACATTTTACTCCTGGATGGATCAATGTGTATAAACAAGATATATTGTACAGATTAATACTTTCTCATTATTAAGGTTGATAAGTAACTATAGATTTAACTGAACATCCCGAAAGTATCATGCCCCATTACCACCCCTTACAATAAACCGCAAGCAAGAGAATCCTCCATATATAGATATAAACTTCACATAATTATGAAGCAGTTGAGCGTTGAAGGCTATAGTAGCATGCAAAGAGCATCAAGCTTTACTGTTTCCCTCGCATAGACTGCTTCAACAAGATGAAAATACAAATTGATATGGAAAATAGGAGACAGACCCAGATGTTCTTCAAAGCAATGGACTAAGACCAGCTTAGCCAATCATCTTACCGCCAGCAATACACAGGAAGACTCGGACCTGATGCCAGTGGTGATTCTTGAAATAAGGAGGCAACAGGGACAAGTAGAAACTACAATGGTGAATACTTTTTTTTGGCAGCCTTAGGCACTAAAGCGGCTAGACACCTCCACCAAGAAGCAAATGTGGGTATCTTCATTGGAGTATTTCTGTCTTTTCTCCTGTGGTCCTGATCCGATCTGCTCCCTACTTGCACCTTAAGCTGGTGAACCTCAAAATTACATCAACTCGTGATTAAAGACGCACACCAACTGCGAACAAGTCGCCAAAAAAGCTGTGCGTCAGTTACATTCCACCGAAGTCACACCATCATCGGATTTTGTTCCGTAAGTATCTATATAATAAGAACACCCATAGTTCTTGCCTATTAGCACGGCCAAGATCTATGTAAAAAGATCAGTCACAGCTAAAAGATAGTCAGCAGTTGCTGTATCCACATCATTGCACGCTTCTTGCCGTTCCAGATGGACATCGATATGAGTAGGAGGAATAAGAAGCCCCGCCTTCTGCTGGAATCTGAACGAGAAAGGCTCGAGGAATTCATCGACTCTATCCACTACTCCGCGAGGTACATTGACTCTCATATCGTAGGCTGTTGACATAAATGCTGACTTGCCCACAGATATTCTGATGATCAATTTGAATACCGTCATGTTCAGCTCCCCAAAAACATGCTCAAAAAAATCCCGGCCGACTACTTTGATAGCTCGAAGGGAACCCTTAAACTACTTTGGGAAGAGGAGTGGAGGGCCCTGGGTATTACACAGGTGTGCGGGCCCGATCACTAATATTATATTTTCATGTCACAACGTGTCTAACTGCCTCGCTGGTCAGAGCCTGGGTTGGGAGCACTACGAGGTTCATGAGCCGGAACCGCATATTCTGCTATTCAAGTGAGCGCCTTAATTTGAACTTGTTCACCTTTGGTACTAATAGTTGTGCCAGGCGTCCCCTCAACTACCAGCCACCAATGTCACAGTAAATATACCTCGAGTTCGATGGTCAATATTTAGCCTTTCTCTACTCATTTCCCCATTACTTGGACGAGCAAACGGCCGCTAAATAAGGTGCGGAGTATGCATAAGTGAGATTGTTCTTAGGCAATCAGGTGCTTTTTGCATGAAGTCTCGACAATATAATTCAATGCTGCTAGAAATTACCTCGTTTGTCGACTAAGCCACCACGCACTGCCACCAATACGACGGTTTTACTGTGCCCAGCCACCCCTATATTCTATTTGCAGGATCCTTTTGTCTAGAAGGGGTTTTCAGATCACGTTCTTGGCCAACCATTGCCCCCACTGGGTAGCAGTAAAACTGCTACTGATCCCCGGTTCTTCGATACCCTAGATGACGGTGTCAGTACATCGGGTCACCTTTAACATTTGCGCAACTAGGAATGACATACATTGAAGTATACGGTCGGAGAAACATGGACTCCTACAGCACGGTCTGCCTAATTTGTTGTGTTAGATTGGATATGTCTCATATCACCGGAGTCTTAATATCTTACTTTGACCATTTTCTTGATATCATCGGTGACATCGTTGCCGATGTTCAGTTCCCCGCCATCACTAGCTCTGTCGCTAACGGTCAAAAGCTTGAGCACTTCTCGCTCCTCCACCCCCACAAGTCCGGCAATCTTTGCCAGTCTTTCATATGTTCTATTGCGTGTTTCGTTAACCACACTGACATCAAAGAAATCTTTCTGTTGTTTGAATAAAGCGGCACTGAATTCCCAGAATTTCTCCGGGGCTACTCTCAGAATAGCCGCGCCCGCTTCATGCGTTAATGTTGATGATGGGTGCCAGGGTTGGATATGTTGACGAAAAATGACCTGCAGTTTGCCCCGGTATTGACTTTCAAGTGTAGGCCTGACTGAGTTGTAGAACGTATCGAACATTTTTGCGGAGAACTAAGGCTAAGTTTTAGCGTACATGCAAAAGCATAGTAGAGCCTACACCGTGGACTCACAGGACATGCATAGTCAAGATCTCAATTTGTAATATCATCAGCTAACTACCACAAATGTTAATCCAGTGCCTGACATACAGAGTTCAAGCGTGTGTTGCGGGTGTTGATCAGTACCAGCCCGCAATCTTTGACCTGAAAATTTTGGGGGAAGAGCCATTAGTGATAGTATGCAAAAGAAAAAGAGATAAGGTTAGGTGCTCTCTGATTCTGAGTTGTTTTATGGATGTGAGATGAGGTGACAGAGTACTTACTCCATACAAAGAGGGTGGGGTGATTTATCAATACCTTTACGTCATCCCACCAGATTATTTATTACTTGATAAGTCACATATGGCCTGCCGAAGACAGTACGGCCAACAGATTACGAGGTATAAGCTACTCATAATATTCATGGCGCAGTAATGACAGCTGCACAGCATTTCAATGAGCTGGCCTTTCCGATACTTGCTGATTACTTGATTAAGCATGCTAGCATACCGTCTGAACTCCATTACTTGTGCATATCTGTATAGCTTAGACCTAATCTCAGCAATATTGACAATTGCAAAGATTATTTCGTTCAATGTCCTAGATGCCGGACGTCTGAGAGGTTATAGCATGGAGAGGAAAGCTTACAGTGTGAATGCCCAGGCAATAAAATAAGTTGAAAAAGAGACCTCGTACATACATCAAGTCCCGCATTTAAAGATACATCAGAATACAATTTGTAAAAGAAGGATGGGCAGCCGGTTAAGAGCCACCAAGCGCTTTTTGGTTGAATATGCTCACATCCTTGAGCTGCATCGAAACCAAAGACCAACTGGCCGTTGCTGGGTCGTATTCACCTTTCACGTCAACCCTGCAAAACCCTCTGGGGCCTTTCAAGCCGACAGGGCCGATAAAATAGAACACGCCACGCCGAGGACGGTGCAGTTCTCGGGCCCAACAGTCCTTCAGCCGCATCTTAAAAGCTAACGATGCTGCATACAGATCAGACCCGGGACCAAACTTTGGTAAAGGTAATCGTTGAAGTGTCGATATAATCAGAGAATGATGAAGGTCGGCGCCACCTTTGTCTCGCAAGGTGGCCCCCTGAGAACCAGTAGGTGAAGCCGACTGTGTTTCAGACTGATGCATGGGGTGCAACCCGTCTAGGGGTTGAAGCTCGGACGATAGCGTCTTATGGGACGGTAGACTTGAAGGACCTGGGGCTTGTTCTTGCTCTAAGCCTGTGATATTAAGCCGGGAAATTTGTCTTTTCACCAAGATCATATAGGCATCCTTTATGGCGAGTGCCACAGATAAAGGCTGTATACACCTCCGAAGACGGTCACCATCCTCCAGAGACATGGGTTTTGAAACCCACGATATTCCACCGTCGGTGAACTCTAGCCTACGCGTCATAAGCAAATCCTAAGGGTTGTCCTATCATGAATGCACATACCCTGAGCGCTCATAATCAGGGGGGGCGCGAGATGGAAAATGATGCACTAGCCAGAACCCTGTTACGTGAAGGGGACCCCCTAGAACGCGCGATAGTACTTCAGACTGGGAGGCATCTTTCTGAACGATCGATGCCAGCTGATCTTCACATACAATGTTTAGCCAAGGACTAAAATGCAACCGAATCGACCATACCTCTGAGATATTGAAGCTTTTCTCGATCCCGTGATGTCTTGACAAACTCTTGCCACTCCGGGTCCGATGCTGCATATAGTTCACCTTTGCGTAATCGTGGCCAGCCCAAGGGTATAAAAACAGGATCAGAATCTATTGTTCCGCTCGCAGGGTTCTTGAGGCGCCCCTCGGTATCATCTTTTCGATTTTCGCCCACACCTGTCTTCCCAGAAAGTGCTTCCTGTGTGGCATCGGCATCGTCTAGCGTATCATCAAACTGAAGAAGGACAAACGAACTCCACAAATGAAATGCGGCACCATAAATAAAAAACGTGGTAAAAAATTTCCTAATGCATATTTCAGAGGGTGGAATATCTATAGTACAACGATGATTTACTTACCTAATCCACGGCCGCTTGAATTTGACATGGCGCACATTGTTGAGATTCGAGGTCTGAGACAATGGTGGGCTAATTCGAAAAAGATATGTAGAGTTTGGAAGTAATCGCCTGAACAGAAACATTGAGAGATCGCATGTGTGGGCGCAGCTGTTCAACAAGAATGCATATCTCTTACCCGTTTCTTAGGATGCTAGAATTGGCATGCCCCTACCTTAGTATAACTGAAGAGCAATATGGAAAGAACGAGTACCGACTTGTACTCAAGGCTTAAAATATAACTATGATCGTACGAAAAGGATCTGCATAAGCGAAAACAAAGGAAAGAGAAATCAAAAGAGGAATTAAGAAGACAATAAATAAATCAGGTGTCAGGAGGAGGTATGTACACTACTATCGAGATCAAATACGGACGAATCTTGAAGCAGCCTAACATTTGAACTTTCGCCGTATATCTACTAGTAGTCGTTCTTCCGGAGTGCTTCAAGTGGTAGCCCCGAGATTCAGCACGTGATACAGACCAGCTGAGATACAGTGGGAGGAAACTGAAATTTAAAACACCCAAATACACTATAGTGTATAACTTTAGAGACCGCCTACTGTTATTGGTATTTAATGCCTGTACAAAAGCCTGTATGTCGCTTATTATTGGCTTTTATTCAGGCGGTATATATTGATGCACGAGCCACTGTTCTTACTCTGTAAATTTCAAATATCAGTGTACAGGTAGTTATAATTTGGGGTTAGTAAGAGCTGAAGTAATGTAGTTGCTATCCACCTGTACAAAGGTGCAGGTGCTTCGCCTACTTCACGCTCAAGTACCAGTTCCTGACCAAAAGGTCTACACTGAAAGTCCACGGAGCTGTCAGTCATCAAATACAGCAAGGCTTTTATCATATCAAGCGAGTTAATTGTTAGTTTGTTCGCTCGGCATGTATCCGCTCACTCGCTTCTTGAGTCTGGCATTAGCAGTCGCATCCGGAACTAGAGCTTTGGATGCTTCCATATTCACATTCGACCCATCTTCACCATGGCAAAACACAAAGACTCCGGTGATAACTGATGATGTAGCTCGGCATCTCTTGGAGCTCAGAATGAACGTACCTACCGCTTCGGTTCTGGGAAAGTGGGATCAAGACATACTCGAGGTTTTGGACAGATATGGTGGCGTGCCACGTCCGTTGTTTGGCAGTGATATCGACTATAAGGATGCTACTAGGAGCCTTGTGATTCTTGAAGGGATAGAGGTTGGACTTGGTATGTCAAAATTGCCCGTCGCTATTCAAGACAGCTGACAAGCTGTCACAAGGATCTTCTGTTCAGCAAGAGTATCAAGGGGACCTCGTGATTAGTAGCGCTTCAGCCAATGGCCTAATTGACGGTTTCCTCGACTCATCATCAGGGGCTAACTCCGACAGCTATGTTATGACCACAAGGAACTATTGTAAATTCGGTGGCGGAGTCGAAATCAGCTCCGATGTTCAAGTAAGAAAGAAATGGCTATCAGTGGGACTTTTGCTACGGCTAACTCTGGTCTGTCTGTAGACGATTGAAAATTGCATTCCTAAGGGCTCTGCATTCGAAGCGGTAGCCCATGTATTTGGCAAAGAGCTTCTCGGCATTGTGAAGCTGGCGGAAACGTGGGTGGACGAGCAGAGTTTGACAGCAGTCTTGAAGATATCATTACAAGTACGTTCTTACAATAGTTACCTTAGCGAAGCATTTATTAATCTGCGGCAGTTTCCTGATGATTATGTGGGCTCTGGCTCTGTAGCCGAATCCCTGACGTCTACTCTCCATGGTCTACGTGCTCTTTCGTCAGAAGCCAAACAAATCACAGCAGTTCTTCTGCCCACATCTAGCCAAGGTAAAGGGCCGAAAAGTAAAGTGAACCCACGAGGGGCCGTGAGACAGGAATCTGCTGTCAGATCGACTGGTGCAGCAGTTATGACGACGCTCCAGAGGCCGACACACCCAGTTTGTTTCACCTCGAATTCTTCGTGTAATGTGGCAACTGATAGCTGCTCTGGACATGGGGTTTGCCATAAAAAGTCCGGGTCAGCCAACGACGAGGCAGCTAGCGACTGCTACGCATGCAAATGCAAGTCAACCATCGTCACCAAAGAAGATGGTACTGTCCAAAAAATTCAGTGGGGAGGCTCTGCGTGCCAAAAACGAGATATCAGCTCCCCTTTCTTCTTAATTGCGGGTATCAGTATACTGGTGGTCATGGCGGCAGGTACTGCTATTGGGATGTTGTTTCATATTGGACAGAATGAGTTACCAGGTGTTATAAGTGCTGGAGTTGGCCCCGCAAAAGCGCAGAAATGATGTCAATATTATATAAACCTATTTTCAATTCCTCTTGATGCGGTCTTGAAGACAATGTGTTTTAGTTAACACATCTCAGAATTGATGTTATAGTAAGATACGAAGCTTTATTTTCCTGGTATATGCATTGGTATTCTCATCATCACGATGTACATTAGAACAAGTAGTAATAAACTGGGGAAGAGAGAGAGACAGCAGGCTTTGATTGCAGAATTCCATATCTGCTGCAAGGCTTTCTCAATAAATAACCAACTACCTTGCATACAACCTGAAAGCCCGAAATCCGTAATACCTTGCAACCATTGCGCCATTAACACCACGCGACGGGTAATAACTTTCATGAGGACTTGTGCCATTAAGCCAACAGCGTGGAACAAATGTAGATACCTAAACAGGGACTTCACACATATTATGTAAGATAAAGCTATCTTCGAATAGTGGGGTACTTCAACGTATTATACAGAATAATATTCATGTCTTTGCGTGACCTTGCACGCTGTAAATAATCGTGCCGTTGCCCGTTGGCATTCCAGATGCCATGAAGCGAGGAAGGGCAACGTTTGACGTGAATTGGATAAGGGAACTGCAACACATATTTTATGAAGCTACTCAGGCGCCGGACTGGGCTTCCAGCTGGCCAGGTGTCCGGTCGGCCGTAGAGCGAGCAGTGTCTGTCAGTTGCGGCATACTCTCTCTTGAAGGATGATTCCGAGCAGAAAAGGACAGAAAAGAAAGATTCAACGACCGAACAGGCGTAAATCTAGTCCTCCAATTTCGTCGGTTCGAAGGCTCTGGGGCTGTGCTCGACGGGTTACTAGTAGGCCGAAAGTTGTGATCTTGTATTCGCCAAAAACGCGGTGCAGTTAGCCGGGACGATTGGGTTCCATTTCTCAATGGAGCCCGTCGCTCCGATATAGCTAGGGGATTCCGAAATGGGTTAATACGCCCTCCTATAAATACTGATTGTGGTTGTGGGGGTACAGCCAATCGTGTTGTGTTACGACGGCCTGAGCGTTCTGGATTAGTTGTTTGTCCGCCAGGATCAGAGCGAGGCTTTGGAACGTAGTAATCGGCCTTGCACAAGGGACAACAAGCTCTTCGACTCGTTAACCACGGGTCCACACAGGATGCATGGAAAGCATGACCACATGTAAGCCCACGTATGTCATCGTCATCGTCGATTGTGTCAAGGCAAATTGCACACGAATCGCCTGGATTGGGCAAAAGTTCCGCTGGTACTGCGGTGCGAATTTGATTATTGACATCCTCGTCATCCTCGAGGGAATCGCAACTCTGTAACTGTTTTGTCTCTGAGCCATGGGTGGTGTCAGCCATTACAGCAAATGCTTGATCAGCGTTTTCCTTCTCTTGGGACTGTGATGATGCCGTCTGTGCATGTTCAACTGGTATAAATGACTGCGACGTGGTCGAGGTACATCGATGGTGGCCTATTATTGGTGAATTTGTTGTGGAAGAGTGTGCCCCAATAGTGGTAGAAAGAACATCATGTTCGCCTTTCAAGCTTTGCGGCCTGCTATTCGGCGCCGATATTCCACCTGCAGTTGGAAGGCCTTCATTCGCGCGCGAAGATCTCCACACTTTGTATTTGATAAGTGGAAACCGTTCGTTTACTTCATCCATACTCATCAACTTTTTCTCTCTCCTTCGCCTATGTGGTCGGGGCATGGTTACTAAATCTATCGGTTCGCCCGTTTCCTCATTGCGTAATTGGCGGTTTCGCTGGTTATATCTGAAGCAATACTTTACCCCAACAATGATCCTAGGAGTGACCAACAAGATTAGCGTACATTTCAAACACAATGCAAGCTTGGGCATACCATAGGTTCGTGAATACAACACCGAAACCAAGGGCAACGAAGAATAAGAGGGGCGAACTTGTGGGGCTTGATCTACTATCATCTCCGTTGTGATCAATACTGGTGGCAGTTGGTTGTAAACCTGTTGCAGTGGAGGCCATCTTGACAAACGAAGACGTGGTGATACTGGAGGGGTTGAGCGCAGTAAACGGTGCCGGCCGTCTCGATTGTTAGGCAGTGATATCTGGAATCCACGAGTATATTGACATGAGATGTCGTCGAGAAATCAACAACCTAGATTAACTTTATCCCTGGAGCACTTGAACGGTTTTATGGCTCTAACACGCAAAAGCGATGGGGGCAACCCGTTTCATCAGGACAGCGACACAAGGCACACACCAAATGGGAACGCGGTGGATCATCACTGGCGGCAGCTGCGCCCGGAGCTGCTGAAAGAATCGTTCCTATTGTAAACCTGGGATGTATATCGCATTTGAATCTAGAATGCCGTTGATGGAGAGAGCGATACTCCACAGGTGGGTGGTAATGTAGTAATGCGTGACCGAGACCAATGGCTGAGCAGTCAGGTCACGGGGTGGCTCATTATAATCTACTCTACAGTACGTAAGATTGCATCTCCCGCATTACTTAGTACGTACTCTGTACAGCACCAATGAGGGGAACAATTTACAGAAGTTAAAAAGGTACTCCTAGGTATGTATTTAGTGACTACCGGATTACTTTCCTATCATATCTTTGATATCACTTTGTACATATATCAAGCATGTATGTAGTACACTAAGCCGTACTCGAGGTAGAATGCTTCGGTAATAACATCGAACTAAGATAAATTTGACAGAGAATATTTTGTCATGATATAACGACAGAGGTATCCCGTATGCACGATAGACGATATATTCTCTGGCTTCCCTAATCCAATAAGCTAATTTGAAAGTGGGGTGGTATGGAGTCATTCGGCTTTTTACAATCGAGTACTCCCCAGATACGTACCTACCACAAGTTTTACGTTGTCACACTACCATCATTATTCCTCCAACCACCTTGTGGTTTCCTGATAGCACGAATCTGCAAAATGGACAGCCAAGTTACAACCTCGACTGAGAACTCCAACCCTGTTGTCTTTTTTGACATCACTCTAGGTGGTAAGTGCGGAAGATGATATTCAGAAACACCAACCTTACGGACAGAGATCCTACCGTTGAGGGATTTCTTACCTGGTTTCACCAGCACAACTCAATTAAAGATATGTAGCTATGGTATACGGAATTTGGAGCTGGGATATCTGCCTCACAAAATGAGATCTATACAGGCTGAGCATACATTATCTCACAGGAGAGCCACTGGGACGTATCAAGATGGAAATCTTTACCAGTATCACACCCCGAACAGCAGAGAACTTTCGCCAGTTCTGCACAGGAGAAAGCAAGAATTCCCAAGGACGGCCACAGGGATATAAGAATAGCAAATTTCATAGAGTCGTGTGTACATTACATATCCTCAGGGCTATGTTTCTGGGGCTAATTGATACATTAAAGATCAAGGATTTCATGATACAGGGTGGTGATTTTGTCAATGGCGATGGCACAGGTTCTTGTACCATCTATGGTGCTCCACGATTTCCAGATGAAAATTTCATTTTGAAGCATGACCGTCCAGGGCTACTAAGCATGGCAGTAAGTCCCAGTACGAAAGTCTGGGGAAGTGACGATGCTGACATGTCCAGAATTCTGGACCCAACACAAACGGTTGCCAATTCTTCATTACAACAACTGCGACGCCGTTCCTAAATAACAAACATGTGGTGTTTGGACAAGTAGTGGAAGGGATGGACGTTGTGCGAATGATTGAAAACATTCGCACAACCAGGGATAAACCCAATCAAGACGTTACCATTGTTCAGTGCGGGGAGATGTGATACTTGATCAATCAACCGGTTCGAACCTAATATATGAAGCTAGGGTGATTCCTATATTCTTTAGGTGTCGTGATCTTCTGGGCTCTCTCTATAGCACTTAACACTTTTCTTTCCCTCTCCTTGTCTATATAAGCCAGTAATATCACAATCTTGGACTGTATTTAGAGCTTAAAGCTTGAACTTGCTAAGGTAATCAGAAGCCAAGGTAATAGCTTCGTCAGTTTTGTCTGGATTAGTACCATTGCCAATAGACGTGGGCCCCTTTCCACCAGCCTTTCCACCGACCGCAGTAGAAACAATAGCTGCCCATTCGCTGGCGGAAGCTCCTTGATCGCTTATGGCCTAGTTGGAAATAAAAATTGTCAGTCCTGGACGAAAAGTACCGGGTGATGATATTACCTTTGGCACATAGCAGCCGTGGACGACACGGCCTTGGTTAGGATCCGCGGCCAAGACGTAAACCGTTTTATCCTGCAGCTTCGACTTCACATGGTTCAGGGATTCGCTAACAGCTTTTGCATTCGCTGAGATTGGAAGCTTAGTAACAAGCCAGGATTTATCTTTGTTTTCTGGGTCTTGGAAGTAGGAAGTAATTGCCTCAAGCGCCTTCTTCGATTCAAGCTTCTGTTGCGCTTTTTGCGAATCGATGATTTGCTTGTTGATATGTGCAAAGCGTTCACGGAACCTCGATTTTTGAACCGCTGAGATTAATAACTGGCTAAGGTCAACCTGGATTTGCTTCGCGCCCTGTTCCTTCTCGGGACCTAGAGCCATTGCTTCGAGACGGTCCAAACGCTTCTCGAATTCCAGGGCGACACGCTGCACTTCATGAGCATCCTCTCCGGTAACTGCAATTATTCTGCGGATGCCTTTGGCAATGCCGCTTTCTTCCAAGACAACAAGTTCCTTAATGTCGCCTGTCTTCTGCACATGAGTTCCACCACAAAACTCAATGCTAACTTTTTCCCAACGAGGATCCTTAACATTCTTGAGGATCTCCTCCAGCTCCACGCCTACAGACACAACACGAACAGGATCTGGATAGGTTTCGCCAAAAACAGCTCTGACACCTGAGATCTGTCGGGCAGTTGCGAGAGGCACCTCTTGCGAGTAGACGGCGCAATTCTGGCGAATATACTCGGTCGATATATCCTCAATTTTTTCCAGGTCTTTATCTGTAACCTGTGATTTATGTGAGAAGTCAAACCTAAGCTTCTCAGCAGCAACAAGTGAGCCCTTCTGCTCCACGCCATCTCCCAGTACTTCTTTGAGAGCAAAATTAAGGATGTGTGTGCCTGTGTGGTTATTTCTGATGGGCCACCGACGAAGCTCGTCGTATTCACAAATGACTTCATCACCAACAGAGAGAGAACCATACTTCATGAAGCCCGTATGAAGAACATACCCAGCATAAAGCTGAACGTCGCCAACTTCAAGCTCAGCCTGTCCATCAATGACAATTCTGCCTGTGTCATTTTCCTGGCCGCCTTGTTCGGCATAAAAGTTCGTGCGATCAAGGATAAGCCCAATTTGGTCCCCCTCGGGTATCTGTTTTGTGGAGGGATGAAAGGATTTGCCATGGTAAATCGCCTTAACCTGGGCAGTGATATTCCCTCTATCGAATTTCGCGGCGTCATTCGTTTTGGGAACGTCATTCATTTTCTCCAATTTTCCAAGATCATGAACATCCAGTTTGACGGTGTCGGCGGCAGCTTTTTTCTGTCCTTTACTTGCTTCCTTAGCTCTTGAGCGAGCCTCTTCGAACTCAGTGTCATCAATTCGAAGGCCACGTTCCTCTGCCATAATACGAGTCAAATCGACAGGGAAGCCAAAGGTATCATACAATCTCCAAACATCAGCACCGTGGAGTTTATCGTCTCCCTTAGCCTTAGCTTGCTGGGCATAATGTTCGAATTGCCTTTCACCACGGTCCAGAGTCTTTGCAAACGAAATCTCCTCCTCGTCAAGTATTTCCATAACATCTTGTTGTTTTCGCTTGACCTCAGGAAACATGTCACCCATCTGATCCACAAGGGTCGGTACAATCTTGGAAAAGAAATTGCCAATCTCGACCCTGAAGTATTTCCTGGCATACCGAACACCTCTGCGAAGCACCCGACGAATCACATAGCCACGGCCCTCACTATTCGGTGTGACGCCATCTGAAATGGCAAATGTCAGAGTTCGAACATGATCTGCTACAACCCTGTAAGCCGTGTCGATTCCATCCGGATCTTCAACACCGAATCGTCCCTGATACTGCCGTGCTCCAGTGATGTCCTTGATGGTTTCGAATAACGGAGAAAACACATCGGTGTCATAATTTGATGACTTATTTTGGAGTATCGAGACCAAGCGCTCAAAGCCCATGCCAGTATCGACATGCTTGTTTGGGAGGGGCTTCAAAGACCGGTCTGACTCACGGTTGTACTGAATGAAAACGTTGTTCCAAATCTCAAGAACATTGGGGTCATCCTGATTGACAAGGTTGGAGGCATTGCGTCCCCCAATTCTGTCATAGTGAATTTCACTGCAAGGTCCACAGGGACCTTGATCACCCATTTCCCAGAAATTGTCTTTCATATTCCCGGGGAGAATATGGTCTTCCGGAACACCCACTGCTTTCCATAGCTCCTTGGCTTCCAGATCGGGAGAGAGACCACCCTCTTTGCTCCCTTCAAAGTAGGTAACATACAATCGTTGCGGATCCAATCCATATATCTTTGTCATGAGTTCCCAAGAGTAATTGATTGCTTCTTTCTTGAAGTAGTCGCCAAAACTCCAGTTACCAAGCATCTCAAAGAAGGTCTGTTACAGATCCCCTATCAGTACTTGCAATGATAATAGCATGAGGTTAGATCGCCTCACATGATGATAACTGTCTTTTCCCACATCATCCAAATCCTATTATCGCTACGGTCAGTTTCTTGCCAAATAAAAAAAAAAGTAAAATCAATGCTCTGTCTTTGACACTTACATTATGCTTACCACCAGCACGGATGCACTATGAATATAAATTAGTTGTGCGACTTTCAAGGGAGAGAGGGCAATAATTTCATGTAGTAACCTTTTGAGTATTGACCGCACTCTTCAGGTTCGCAAAATCCGAATGTGGATCCACGGTGCCCAGGAAAATCGACTTAAATTGATTCATCCCAGCATTTGTAAAAAGCAAAGTTGGGTCCGAGTGAGGAACCACAGGAGCTGATGCAACTGGTCGTACGGTTCGATGTTAGCTGGCAAAAGATTGAGAATAAAATGTGTAGTATATAGTATACCGAAAGTATGTCCATTTTTTTGGAAATATTGAATAAATGCATCCCGAACAGATTTTGCAGTCCACTCAGGACTGCTTTGTAGATTTGAATTCATTATGAATGGTGGTGAGGTGGTGTTTGCAGGTAACACACTTCGATGTGGGGGAGGGGGAGGGGAAGTGTGAAGATGGTAGAATGTTCTGGGTTTTGACCTAAAGGGCGACAGCAGATGAGTCAAAGCCAGTTCCCCATCCCTCAAAAGCTTAGGGGCTCGCATCAAGCCACCCTCTCAGCGATGCATTTAGTTGCACCAAGTTGACTTCGCGCGTGCCCAGGATAGCAGATGGTAGATTATAACCCTTTTTGTTACTCCGCAGAAAGTTCTCTGATTAATTACCTGGCTGTTTGTGGTTTGGATGGCGCAGCACCCTGATGTGGGAGTTTATCACGGAACAAAGCGTCCCGCGGAGAGTGACCCTGATGGAGATCAGCCTCTAGCTAAAAAGTTTGGTCGCTTGCATATTGGTATGTCTTGCCATAGCCTTGGCTCGTTCTCTCTCTGTTTCTCCTATCACAGTCCTTTGTTTCAAAATTCCTTGCCTCTGTTTCCCCCCCCCCTTTTTTTCTTTTGTCTTTTTTCCTGTGCTTAGGCTCCCCCTTCCTTTTATCACATCCTCTAACGAACATCGCAAATTTAGGTCCTCGAGCAATTAGTCCTGCTCCTGGAGAAATTCCAGACAATCTTGACGTTGGTCAACATGGTTCGTCAGCTTTAGATGACTGATGATATTGGACGACACGAAATATACTGTTTACATTCATGATCTTGAACGTGAGATAGCAGAAACTGAGCTTCCCAGTGATTCCATTACATTCGTGCCCGGAATCGTGGAGAACTTGAGAGCAATCCCGAGATTCGTCACCACAGAAGCAAAACCCATGTGCAACGAGTTGGTTCTTTACAGAGAACCAGCATCACTGACAGTACCGAGGGAAAGAGACACTGTGCGTAAGGCTCTGATTGAGACAAGGGAGCGGGCTAGAACAACTCAATGTGGGCGACATCCCTCTGCATATAGCGCTGCATATTCGGGGACGGCCGCAGATCCCCGTAATTCAAACAATACTCGTCATCCCGGGGATGCAATGGAGATAGATGCTGGGGTATAGGAAGTTCTAAGCTCTACCTTCCTAGCTTGTTGTCTTTCGCTCTTCTATCCCTGGTGGTCTAACTGGGCCATTATAATATAAACCTACGCGGCTACTCTGTGTCTCATAGATACATTAAAAATCTCTTTGCCCTCTTGTCTCTAGACTAGCATATCCTTGTCGCAAATGATGGTAGCTGTGTTGGGGGGGCAAAAGACTATATAATTAGGGGCGGGAGTTATCAATAAAATGCTCCATGGGCTCTCTATATAATAAAATTGTCAGAATGCCAAGACGATGGATGTTCTACGTATTCTGATGCATATGCCATAGATATTCATAGCAGGTAATGTCAGTATATTGGTCTCATATCTTGCGGAGGGCCGCGGGTGCAATGACTGTGCTAAACCTTCAGATACGGTTGAAGCTGGATTAAAGTTTTTTCTTCGCTGTAAATGACCATGATCTACCAATTGTTTAATCCCACAAGCTTTTTTGTTGTGGGATTAGTAGACTGTAGATGTGAAAGTTGTTGTTCTGTCTATTGTTGTCTGATACTTGCTAATAAGCGACTGAATAGACTGTAAAGCCGTGTAGGTATCTAAAGGGTTATATTATAAAACCCGTGTCAGAGACCCTGTGTTAGGGAACCT